AAAAAAATGTTATTCTAAAATTGACCTAACACTATTTTACAACTTAAATAAGTCGCCCTTATACAAACCATTGACTCTATCATATTTTTTAAAAATGATAAACAGCCAGGTGTGGTGGTGCATGCCTTTAATCCCAGCACTTGGGAGGCAGAGGCAGGTGGATCCCTGTGAGTTCGAGGCCAGCCTGGTCTACATAGTGAGGTCCAGGCCATCTGGGGCTACAGGGAAACCCTGTCTCAAAAAGACAAAAACAAAACAAAACTTTATCTTAAAACTTTATTTAGTAAACTTAATTTTCTCCAAATTATCAGTCTGTGTTAGAAGAAAATAGAATTTAATTAGCCATGATGTATGTTTTTCTGTGTGTACCCACACATGTGTTGTTATGGCTTGTGTATGGAGGTCAGAGGACAGCTTTCTGGAGTTTACGGTTGGCAGCCTTCTCCTGCCAACTGATATAACTCATTTAGACTCATTTACATTTTTATTTATTTATTTGCTTATTTATTTTGACACACGGTCTTCCTATGTAACCCTGGCTATCCTGGAACTCACTATATATAGTCCAGGTTGGTCTCTGACCTGTGGTGATTATGCTGTGTCTGCCTCCTACATGCTTAGATTGTAGACCAAATCCATGATGGGGCATTTCTTCCCCCCCCTCCCTTCTTAAAGAGAGGAAAGGGTTTATTCGGATTACAGGTTCATCATCAAAGTAAGACAAGTCAGGAACTCAAGGCAGGAACTGGAGGCAAAAACTGAAGCAGAGACCATGGAGGTATGCTGCTCACTAGCTTGCTCACCTACCTTTCTTATATAGCCCTGATCTGCATGCCTACATATGGTACTGCCCACTGTGGGCTGGGTCCTTCTACATTAATTAAGGATTAAGAAATGACTCAAACACATGACTATAGGGAAGTTAGATCCAAGAAATTCTTCAGTTGAGGTTCCCCCTAGGTTTGTATCAAGTTGAAAGCTGAAGCTAAATATGACATATTTTAAGAAATTTAGTAGAAAGATGAATGGCGTAATTTTATTTATTTATTTTTTATTTATTTATTTTTATGGGGCTTTTGGCTATTCTAACATTGTCCTCTCTGAAGAGGTAACCCTAAAATCTTTTAAGGATTAGATACAAGCTCCCAAATACTTTCGACATTTTTGGCCTTTGGAACAGAGTATGTTGCTGAGAGGCCCAAGGACATTTTGACTTTTAGCCAAGAAACTGGCTACTTTTCTTTGGGGTCTTTTTACCCTACCTGCTTAGCTAATTCCTACCTCTTATTCTTATCACACCAACCTCTGAAGAGGTTACCCAAATTGCCAATAGGGAATCAGGATGCAGACTGCTCTGGCTTCTTCCATGCTGAACAGGGATGCAGGGTGAGGCAATTGGAGTACCCCTTCAGTGGGTCTATCTAAAAGACTCCCAAGTTGCATAACTCTTATCTCTAGGGGGAAAAGAAAGTCCTTGAATCATGAATAGGAGATGTGAAGGAGAAGTAAAGGCAAGAGTAATTATAATTAGCATTACAAGTTTTAGACTGGGAACTAGAAAAAAGTCAGAACAGGGCAGTTCTCAAATGTTCATGTGAGAGTCCATTGGAATTTCTTGACAAGGGCTTCCGAAAGCATCCCTCTATTGGGTTCCTACTCATTTTTCTTTTGTCTTCTAAGGCTGGATTCTAGAGTGATGGATTCAGGATTTGCTTTCAGGTATTTTGATAGCTGTTGGAGTGGTTAGAATCAGTATCAGTTCCCTCTCAAAGGCTTCTAGATGGGGGGAGAAAACAAATTAATCCATCATTTTAGAACAATAGCTGATTGTCCCCCTTAGCTACAGGTGGACACCACAGTATTGGAGACCAAGATTTGAAGTCTTACATCTGAGCAGCACTTTCTGGTTAGGAACAAAATCATCAATGAGAAATAATTGTCTGAATAACTTTTTATATAGACCTAAGCCTATAAGTCTGGGAAGTGTAATCCCATGAACTTTTAAATATACTGATGACTTTACTCTTTGGTTATACTTTCCTTTTGGGTGTCTAAGACCATACAATTGGCCCAAATAAATCAATTTATTTTTACACTTAAGGTCATTTGAAGTTCTCTTCTCAGGGGTCACATGGGCTTGGGAGGCGCTCCTGGCCCCTTTTACCAGTTCCATCTATGTGAAGATAAGTCAAAGGTCCTGCTTGACCATGTCTGGCTTCATTTGGAAGCATGAATGAGATGTTTCCGCTAAGTCGACCTTCCTCTTTGTAGACTGGACACTGGTTCAAGTCCATCTCGTGGAGCCTCCATGTCCTCCCCAAAGAAGAGGACAGGAGAGTCACCACAGTTATAGGACATTTTGAGAGATGTTCCATAGTCCCCTGGAACTTAGTTGACCTTGGAGGGCAAGGGGCAAAAACTATCCCCTTAAGTCCCTCTGACCAGATTAGTATAGGCCTCAAACTATGGTTGTTAAACATCCAATAAGGTTAGTTCCACCAGTCTGGTACTTTTAATTATCATGTGCTGTGTAGGTAAGGCTTGGGTAAAAAAACAAATATTCTCAGATAAACTTTGACTAGATACATATTGTCTTCATTAAACTAGTTGACTAAACTATCTCTGTTCCTATATCCTTTTAACATCTTTTACATTCTCATTTTCTTTTTTTAATAATTATGAGACATAATAACATTAACAAATAAATTTTCCATCAGTTGTGAGAATTCTTTTCCTGGGGATACTAAGCACTGTGAACCCTTTTAAGGTTCTAGTGTCAAGCCAATGTTTGATTAAAATTTTACTGGGGAACCAATGAATTTACTGAGCTTACTTACTGAGATAACTGAGGGATTGCTGAGGTGTATGTATTATGTATGACCTGAGGGTATGCACACTGGAAAGCCTTTGCCCAGCATGGGTCATGCCTTCTCTTCTAGTCTTCCCCAGATTGTATACTTTAGCCCTCCCCAAATACAGGAGGTCATGTGTAATTAGGGTGAAATTACATACAGTTGGCTGGGAAGAATGGCTGGATAATGCGGTGAGGGTCTAATGACCCTGCTTGGCCCTCCTTGAATGAATGAGCACAACCGTCAACAAGCCCAATTGTGACAGTGTTTAGAGATCAGGCTCAGCTTAAGTCGTGATGATGGTAGTTATTTCATGTAGAAGGGACTGCTGTATAGCATCATTTTATTAAAAGGACCTGGAATTTTAAAGTATTGGGTGCTAGGATCCACATATGAGGGAGAACATATGTCTCTTGCTTTTCTGAGTCTGTGTTACTTCACTTAGTATAACAGTTTCTAGATCCATCCATTTACCTGCAAATTTCATTATTTCATCTTTCTTTACTGCTGAATAGAACTCCATTGTGCAAATATACCACATTTGTTAATCACTAGTCAGTTGAGGGGCACTTAGGTTGCTTCCATCTCTTAGCTGTTGTGAAAAGAGCAGCAAACATAGTTATACAAATGTCTCTACAATAGGATGAGTCCTTTGGGTGTATGCCGAGGAATGGTATAACCGGGTCATATGGTAGGTTCATTTTTAGTTTTTTCAGAGTTCTCCACACTGTTTTCCATAGGGGTTGCACGAGTTTACAATCCCACCAGCAGTGAATGAATGTTCCCCTTTCTCCATATCCTTGCCAGCATTTGGTATCATTTGTTCACTTGATCCTAGCCAGTCTGATTGGGGTGGTTTTAATTTGCATTTCCCTAATTACTAACGATGTTGAACACTTTTTTGAGATGTTTCTTAGCCATCTTTATTTCTTCATTTGAGAACTCTCTGTTTAGATGTTTAGCCCATCTTTTCATTGGGTCATTTGGTTTTTCGATTCTTTGTTTTTTGAGTTCTTTGTATATTCTGGGTGTTAAACCGCTAATCAGATGTGTCACTGTTGAAAATTTTTTCCCATTCTGTGGGGTTTCTCTTCACTTTTTTGATTGTTTCTTTTGCTGTACTGAAACTTTTTAGTTTAATGGGGTCCCACTTGATTGCTGACCTTAATTCCTGAGCAACTTCTGTCCAATTTAGAAAATCTTTTCCTACATCTACATCTTGTAAGTTACTGCCAATATTTTCTTGTAATAATTTCAGGGTTTCCAGTTTCACATTGAGGTTTTTGATCCATTTGGAGTTGACTTTGGTGCAAGGTTCTAGTTTTCATTTTTCTACAAATGGTGCTGGCAAAACTGGATCTCCACCTGTAGAAGAATGAAAACTAGAGCCAGTGCTCTTAATTCTGTGCCATCTCTCCAGCCCCATTTGTTGATTTTTATATATGAAATCATAGTGTTCTAGTTTTTCCGCCAAAAGTTAGGAGGATAAATAAACCAGAAAGGCATAATATTATATTGATAATAAAGTTGGGTCCTGCGTAGTATAGTTGGTACAAGACCCATTGTGTTATTCTATATTTTTGTGTATGTTGAAAATTCTCATAATAAACCTTAAAGCTTTTACTATAGTTTGCATTTTCAAAGTCTTCTACAGACCAGTGTGTTGAGGACTTCATCTGCAGCCTGTGGCCCTCTTGGGAGATGATGTAGCTTATTAGAGGTGTGGTCTACCGAAAGGAAATTAGGTCATTGAGAATTTGCCTTTGAATCCCCCCCAAAAAGCACTCATGGCACCATACCGGCTCTCTCTTTTATTCTTCTTGACTAGCAGGAGGTGAGCATTCCTTTACCCTGCGCACCTGCCATGATAAGACTGTGCTGTCACAGGCCCAAACAACAGGCCCCAGCAGCCATGGACTGAGGCATCTGACACCATGAGCTCATTGAGTTGATTTTCTCAGTGTTTTGTGACAGCTTTGAAAAACTGGATAACACAGCTTTATATGAATTCTTATTTATTATACCAGTAATTTTAGCAGAGCACTTATTTTTGTATCTGCTGGGGAATACTAGGTATCTGTGGGACTTTTGTCGGTTGGTGGGATAGGTAAAGAATAGTAATTCAGTTTTAATTTTCTGTTTTTTCAGGTATAAAAACTTCAAGATCCAGGACTGGGCTTGGTGGCACATGCCTTTAATTCCAGCACTCAGGAGGCAGAAGCAGGTGGATCTCTGTGATTCGAGGCCAGCCTGGTCTACACAGTGAGTTCCAGGCCATCTGGGGCTATTGGGAGACCCTGTCTCAAAAAGACCAAAACAAGACAAAACAAAAAAAATTTCAATATTTAAATGAAAATACTTTTACCTTTTTGTGTTTTCTCGCTTGTAATTGCTCATTGTCCTTTGCCAATATTCAAGCTTATCTTTCTCATCTATTTTATGAGCATTAACTGTGTGATGGGCGCTAACCATGTGAACATATAACTAATATTTGGATATAAAATATTTTCCCAAGGTTTGTCTTTCTTTTTTTTTTTTTTTAATTTATTTTGAAACAGTTTCATAGTTTAACTCAGGCTGGCCTCATTTAATACTCCCACCTCAGCCTCCTGAGTCTTGGCATTAAAGGCATATACCACCATACCTGACAATTTATTCCAACCATCTTTTAAGTTTTGGATTGTAGTAGATATAATTATGGCCTCCCAAAGCTATACATGCATGTTTGGAATTACTCTCAAACCTATGAATATATTATTTCACATAGTTAAATGAATTTTGCAGGTTTGGTAAAATATTTTTACATTTTTTAAAAATTATATTTATTTGTTTGTGTATGTTTGTTCTTAAACCCCATGCATGTCTGTGGAGATCGGAGGACAACTTGTGGGAGTCGGTTCTCTCCTTCTACTTTGTGGGTACTGGGGAACAAACTCAGGTTGTCAGGCTTGATGACAAGTGTCTTAACCCACTGAGCCATCTCACTAGCATTTAGGGAGATATGGGAAGATTATCCAGGATTATCTTTATGGACCTAATGTAATTATAAGGGCCCTTAACAGGAGGCAGACAGGTAGATCAAAGTGGGAAATTTGGAGAGTCATGGAGTTATCAACTGAAGAAGACAGGCATTTCTGGAAATTGGAAAATGCAAGGCTGTATTATCCCTACATCCTTCGGAAGGCACTGACTTAAGATCCTATGATCCTTTTCGTGCTGACCCTTCTAACTATAAGATATGGATTTCTGTTGTTTTAAGTCACTAAGTTTATGTTAACTAGTTAAAGCAGTGATATATCTTTTGCCAATTTATTTTCATTTTAATGTTTAAACTATATTTTGAGGAAATTATAGATCCACATGTAATTGTAAGAAATGCTAGAACTTACTGAAAAAATCTATTTCCTCCAGTGGCAATATCTAGTAAAAGTATAGTACGGTATCACAACCATGGTATTAACTAACATTGATACAGTTACTATACAGAACATTTCCTCAAGACTCTGTCATGTTTCTCTCTTGTAGCTGTTATGGTTTGAAAAAATGTCCTAAAAAATCCATGCATTACTCTGGGCGTGGTGGCCCATACCTTTCATTCCAGTAGGCAGAGGCACGTGGATCTCTGTGAGATAGAGGACAATCTGATCTACATAGTGTGAATTCCAGGCTGGCTGGGGCTACAGGAGACCCCTGTCTTTGAAAAAAAAAAAAATCAGCGTATTAAAGTCTTAGTTCCTAGCACTTAGTACTGTTGGGAGGTGGTAGAACCTTTCTGGTCTCTAGCATATTTTTTCTTGCATTTCACTGCCCATAAAAGTTTAGTATGCATTTCTAATAACCAGGTGGGGCTTTGGTTACTCTAATTACTTGAAGTTGTAAAGTCAATCTCCCAAGTGCATCACTTTAAAAAAAAAAAAAAAAAAAGTAGAAGGGCAGTCTGAATCCATCCAGAAAAAGAGATATTCAATGCTGGGGTATGCAGTTTGTTAGTATACAAATTACTATTTTTCCATAATGTTTTTTACCAGTTTGCATGTTTTTCTACATGAATTTTCAAATCAGTTTGTCACATTTCAAAATAAATTCCATTAAAGTTATGAATTAATTTGGTAGTGGGGCCCCCCACAGGGGACGAGTCATAATTCCTTAGGTATCATTGAAAAATATCTCTGCTTCTAGCTTTCCAAGTGTCTCAGCTAGTTATTAGAAATTTTTTTGACATGTATGTGTTTATATGTGTGTGCATGTTTGGGCATACATCTGTGTATGTATGTGGGTGTACATGTATGTGTGTACATGTATGTATGCATGCATGCATGCATGCCATACATGTGTATGTGAATGAGCGTGAATGAGGTCCATGTTAGGAGTCCTCCTATATTGCTCTCTCTTATTTCTTTAGACAGGGTTTCATCACTAAACCTGGAGCTTACTGATTGACTAGAGACATACATAAATCACTATATTAAACTAAATATCTCCTTCATAGGTTCTTTGTCAGTTGAAAGCTTTTAATTTTTTAGATTAACATACAAAGTAATGGGTTTCATTATTCTATTTTCATACATACACGTCAATAACTTTGTTCTCAGTACAAAGAACGACATAAAAGATGACTTTTTTCTTTCTTTTTTTTTTTTTTAAGATAGGTCTCACTATGAAATCTAGGCTAGCCTCAAACTTACGGTGCTCCTACTTCAGCCTCTTGAATGCTAAGGCTTTCTTTAGCTTGTGTCTTAATTAGCTTTCTATTGCTGTGATGAAAACACTGACCAAAACCAACTTGGGGAGGGAGGGGTTTATTTGGCTTACAGCTCACAGTCCATTATCAAGAGAAGTCAAGGCAGGACTCAGGGCAGAAACCTGGAGCACAGACCATGGAGGAACACTGCTTACTGGCATGCTCCCCTGGCCTGGGCTCAGCCACCTTTTTTTTTTTTTTTTTTTTGCCTTTTTGAGACAGGGTCTTCTGGCCTGGAACTCGCTGTGTAGAGCAGGCAGGCTGGCCTCGAACTCACAAGGAACTCACAGAGATCCACCTGCCTCCACCTCCCAAGTGCTGGGGTTAGAGGCATGCACCACACCTGGCTTTCAGACTGCTTTCTTACATAGTATAGGCCCACCTGCCCACGGGTAGCACCGCCCACAGTGGGCTGGGCCCTCTTATGCCCCACAGACACCACAGGCCAATCCAAATGAGGCAGTTCCTCACTTGAGAGTCCCTCCACCCAGATGTGCCTTCAAGTTGACAACTAAAGCTATCTAGCACAGTCTGGCATTGATCAATTTTTGTGTATGCTCCATTTATATTCTTCTCTTTGGAAGTGATGCTCTGTATATGTCTATTATGTCATACTAATGCAATGCCAGTTTTTTTCTGAATTTGCTAACCTGTGTCTTTGAGTGTTTTAATATTGAGATATGTTAGAATTGTTTTCCTGTGATTATACCACCCTATTTATTTTACTTTTGTGCCTTCTAACTATATAGAAAGGAAAAAGTGCTTAGAAAGCATCTATGTTATATGGTATATACAAGTTTTGATTTTTACCTACATTGGATAGAACTTTCAATCATTTGTTTAGTGAATTTTATTGCTAGTGGTGATTCTGAATGTAAAGTTAGTTTATATGATATTAAACAGGGACACTGTTCTTTTTTAAAAATTAGTATTTGCTTGTGTTTTGTCTTTAGGTGGCTTTTCTTTTTTTTCCTTTTTACAGTGCTGAGAATTGAAGACAAACAATCTGCCATTGAACTACGTACAGCCCCAGTTCCTCCTGGGGAACTTGCCTGCTTTGCTACTGGTTTTGAGATAGGGTCTCTCTATAGCCCAGGATGGTCTCAGACGCGTAGGAGTCCTTCTTCCTCATCCTCTTGAATATTGGGATGGTAGATATGAGCCACCTGAACTTGATAAATGTTTTAAGTATGTCTTTTTTGAAAAGCGTCGAGAACCTTACTACTTCAGCTTTTTATAAAATGTTTTCTATGTTGCAGTACTGAAGCTGCTGAAAGATGGCAGAAGAAGTGGTGGTAGTAGCCAAGTTTGATTATGTGGCACAACAAGAGCAAGAGTTGGATATCAAGAAGAACGAGAGATTATGGCTTCTGGATGATTCAAAATCCTGGTGGCGAGTTCGAAATTCCATGAATAAAACAGGTTTTGTCCCTTCTAACTATGTGGAAAGGAAAAATAGTGCTCGGAAAGCATCTATTGTAAAAAACCTGAAGGATACCTTAGGTAAGTTGTTTCTTAAAGGAAGAACAATGAGTTTCTTTATAAATGGATTCTGGGGCAGTAGGCAGAATTGACTTGAGAAGGCCAGGACTGTCATTTTTGCTAGGCAGTGTAAGTTTGGTCCATGATAATTGTTTAAGCCAAGAGTTCAGTGAAGATTGTTTGTTAACAATTTCCCTAATCTGGGCTCACATTCAAATGGTGCTAAGGAGCAGAATCAACTCTGATCTTCTAGAAACAGCTGCTTGATTAATAAATACCTGTTGGGGTTTAGACAAATTTTGCTTATAAGAGACAGGGAAAAGTGAGTAAAATGCAAAATTGTCTCCTGGGGCATCATTACATTTTGTTTTACATGGCACATTACTGACTTTAGTATCTAATGAATTTCACTTTTAAAAACAATTTTCTTCTGTTTGTAAGAATTTTTCACCTGTGGGTCATTGTCACATATTAGCATCTAAAGGACTGATCACTTCCCTATTTTGTTTTCACTTCTTTTCCCTCCTTCTCTAACTATATACATTTGTTTAGTTTTAAATTTTGTTGGCCTTTATTAGGGCAAGAGACAGAGGAGCCTACTTCACCCTGGCCTTGGGTAATAGGAAGGAAATATATAGAGTAAAGACTGCTCCCCTCCCATTTCTTAACTCTCTGTAATGGACAGGAAGGAATTGGGAGGGTCAGAAATTAATTTTGGTGTTGAGCAGACATGCTACTGCTTAATGGTCCTTTACCTATGTGTAGAAGAAAAAAACTTTTCCTGCAGAGATAGTTTGGTATTAATGTAGCATAATTGACAAATATGAAATATTATTTTAGATTATTTTTTATTCACAATTGCTATTGTAGTCTTTTTAATAATTACTAGCAATAGAGGATAAATGTTTAATGTTTTTAACCATTTTAAGATGCAAAAGCTAAAATATAGTGCAATTCAAAGTAAAGAATTCCATAAAATATTTGTCAGTTTCTGAACTAAAGACCTTTCTCTGTGCTAAAGGTATTGTAATAGGTGTAGTTAGCATGACATTTGACTGCACAGATAACTTATCTTTAAGTTTTAGGAAATCTGTTAATTTTATTATAGTATTACAGTTATTGCTGCCTATAATCCCCAGTGTTTAGAAACATTGTTTGAAATTAGTCATCTTTAGCATGTATAATGATGTTAAGTCTAGCTATTATATCAGTCAGCCCACTCTTTTTTCTCAGAATTTCTGCACTCCATTGGCAGCTTAACTATTTCAAATAATTTAGTGGGTTTTTTCCACCATGATTGTGTTAGCTAGAGACCTTGGGAGTTAAGAAGAAAAAGGCGGTAAAGGATAGGAAGAATGGGTGTATGTATTTTTAACTATTACAAATGTACTTTAATATTTCTTTGAAAATAAGTGTGAATTATAACTTCACATTCTTTGCTGCCACGAGTTACTTGTTCTACAGGTTCTTTTGCAGTTTGGGGAAAACAGTATTAGAAAGAGAGAAGCCTCAGTTTTGAAAACATTTTATTGCTTGGGTGTGGGCCAGGTCACATGGATTGGGTGTGGGAAGTTTCAGTGTTTCAGAACAGACCAGGAAGTTTACTGAAAATTATCCCGGAGCTGTGTCAACAAACTTACAAAAGAGAACACGGGATTTTTATTCAAAATGGATTGCTTAAACATCTTTAAAGATTTTTTCAGTAAGTTATTCTGTTTATTAAGTCCATAGTTTCCTTGTTACAGCTTTTGAATTAATTTTTTTCCCTTTTGTGAGTTAAAAGGGAAAGTAAATGGAGAGAATCAGTGAGTTTATATAAGCTGGTGCTTTATGCTGTTTATGTAATAAAAGGTAGATGACTAGTGATATTTTAAATGCTGTTAGTTTTGCCCTTATAAATGATTTTAAAGTGTTTTAGCATGAGTGTGTAAATAACAAGTAGGAAAAGTATATAAATGATTTGGATCCGATGTACATAGTTCTATTTTAGTAACTCAGCCTAGTATGGACATTTGAATTATTTTATCCTTGATCTTTGAATTAACATGATATGCTTTACTAGCTTTTACTTAGATTTTATTGTGGGAATAAAGTCAAGATAACGTTTAATAAGAGCTCTCATAAAATACAAATACTGATTTACAAGTAAAATACGCAGATTTGCCTCTGCTGGTGGCATGTATATAATCTTATAATAGTGTACTTGATTAAATCTCCTTGAATATTTGTTCAGTAGCTCTACAAAAACAGATTATTATAGAAGTCTCTTAAGCACAAGAAGCCTAAGGAAACAGAGAATAACCTGATCAGCGATTCTGGGGAAAAGGACAAAACAGAAAAGGAGTAAGCACTTTGTTGGAAAAGAATGTAGTAGTTGTAATATGAGGTCTCATTTGTTTCTTTTAGTTAGCTTTGGTGGCTAAGTGATTCCTTCTGGAATATATTTTCTAACTTCTCTTTACTTTCTGGACAGTTATTAAATTTTTAGACCTTTGAAGTTGCAGTTTTTAGGTTATTTTTCTTCTGAACACTAATTTATTTTTTCTTTTTAAAATGCATGTATTTTACATGTGTGTGGTATATGTGTGCATTTGTATGTAGAAATCAAATGATAATTTGATGTCATATTCAGGAACACTGCCCATATCATTTGATACAAGTTCTCTCATTGGTCTGGAGTTTACCAGTTAGGCTAGACTGGCTGGCCAGTAAGGCCCAGGGATCCTTCTGTTTCTTTCTCCTCAGCACTGAGATTACAAGAGTGAGCCACCATATGTGGCATTAGTTTATGTAGGTTCTGAGGCTCAAACTAGGGTTTTTGTCCTTGTGAGGCAAGTGTGTAACTAACTGAGTCATTCTCCCAGCCTTTTATTAATTAATAACACCTTGATGGGCTGACAAGATGGCTCAGCAGGTAAAGGTGGCTTGCCACCAAACCTGATGATGACCTAAATCCAATCCCTAGGACTCAGAAGGTAGAAGGAAAGAATCGACTCCCTAAAGTTGTCCTCTGACCTCTATACATGAGCTGTGGTATGTGTATGTGCCTTCATATACCACTCCCCAGTGAATAAAGTAACAAAAAAATTTTTTTTTTTTTTTTAAAAGCATGAAATAGGCGGGGTGTGGTGCTGCACACCTTTAATCCCAGCACTTGGGAGGCAGAAGCAGGTGGATCTCTGTGAGTTCAAGGCCAGCCTGGTCTACATAGTAAGTTCCAGGACAGCTGGGGCTACAGGTAGACCCTGTCTCAAAAAGACCAAAAAAAAAAAAGCGTGAAATACTAATAATACTTGCAGAATTTACAATCTGGTAGGGAGTTAGAAGATAGCTTTTACTTATTAATAATGTAGTAGGTTTCAGATCTAGATTCTGTCATAATTGGTAATCATAACTGAAGCAGAAATAGTATTAAAATGTACATAAAAATATAAGTTGTGAGTCTGGAGAGATGGCTCAGCAGTTAAGAGCACTGGCTGTTCTTGCAGAGGACCTGGGTTCTGATTCCCAGCATCCACTTGGCAGCTAACAACCATTCATAACTCTAGTTCCAGGGGATTGAATGCTCTCTTCTGACCTCCTCAGGCATTTCACAACACAGGCGCACTTACATGAAGGCAATACACTCATACACATACAATAAAAAAAGTGTAAGTTGCATTATTCAGTATACCATTTTATTGATTCAGTGACAAAATTGTTCCCTGTGTGGAGTCTTAAGAGTTTATTGGTTAATTCTAATTGTACTTGTAGATTGGGCTTGTAAGAGCTGAGATTTGAGTTTTATAACCAAAATATTTCTTTTCTAAATCCCTATAGCACTCCAAAATAGGCATTTATTTTGCCAGGGTGCTTGTCAGAGTAGAAACAGGCTGTTTATTGAACTAATTTCTGAATGGACTTGAATAGTAGAAATAAACAGAATTATGTATTCCTTGTTTGGTAGCCAGAGTACCCTTGAAAATAAAACTTACAGTGTTTTAGGTAAAATAATTATAAGCAGTAATGTATCTCTTATAGATGAATGAATAAATGAAGTACAAACTAAAAAAATGCAGTGTTAAAAGTAGCAAATATTTATATTTAGAATTACTTAGAATAAGCCCTGTGCTCTAGGGTATGTAACTAAACTTTTCCAATTTTTCTGTTTTTGGTAAAAGAGTTGGGCGTGACTAGATGATCCTGGAAAGTACCTCCTAACGCTACAAGTCTTGCAGTCTTGGTAAACAACCAGGTGGTCTTTTGTGTGTCATGGGAATTAGGGGAAATCCATGAGGGAGAAATTGGTTTTGAAAAACTGAGAACATAACAACAGAGTGATAGTTCACTGACAGATTGGAACAACAGCAATACTTCTTTGGACCCATGCTATTGAACATTACTCAGTGATTTTTCAGATGAAGGGAAGTGCTGATGATAAAAGCAATAACTAAAAAAACCTGAAAAACCGATAAGAATCTAGGCTGGTAATAGTTCACCTGAAGAAAAAACTTACAAAGAGTTGCTTTGGTTGTGTAAGCACGAAGTCGTCATCATAGTCCATGGTGGCCTTGATGCAAGTCTTAGGGTTGCTCCGGTGAAAGGATGCAATAGCTCCTTTGTGTATGTGCTGACCAATTAAAATATGTCACTTTATCCACGTGGTGTGTGTGTGTGTGTGTGTGTGTGTGTGTGTGTGTGTGTGTGTGTATATATATCAATACTTTAACCATGGTATTAAGAGACTCAGATGATTCCAAACTCTGGCATCCATTATATTAAGGATTTGGAAACCAGATTTATAGGAAGATCTGTTGGTATGAAGATTTGCTCTTTGGAAGAAGAGCACTATTGTGCAAAGACTAGAGTGTTCACATTGTTTAACCAGGTTCAGAGTCACGTACCTCCTCAGTGCTTACATGTGAGCAGTTCTCTCCCAGCCTTAACCAGAGTAATATAATAATAAAGGTTTAAGTAATTCTGAAAAATTAAGTACCAGAAACACTAGGAAATAGAAAAATTGTAGCCACCATCTATGGTAC